TGAGGACAGATTTTGAAATGAAACACAAGTATCAGGGAGCCATTTCTCCCTGTGCTTTTGTTACAATGCATCTGATGGTGAGTTGACCTTGACTGGACAGCAGGTGCCCACCAAAGCCACTCTATTGCTCCCCTCCTCTGTTGGGCAGGGGAGAGGAAATTTAATGAAAAATTCATGARTAAAGGACAGGGAGACATCAGTCACTAATTATTGTCATGAGGAAAATAGACTTGATTTTGGGAAACTAGTTCCATTTACTACCAGTCAATCAAAATAGCATAATGAGAAGTAAACCAAATCTTAAAAAGCTTCCCCTACCTCTTCCTCCTTCCTGGGCTTAAGTTTACTCCCAGTTGTCTACCTTCTTCCCTGAGTGGCATGTAGGGACAGGAAATGGGGGTTACAGTCAGTTCATCACATTGTTTCTGCTGCTGCTACCTTCTCAGGGACAGTAGACCTTCCCCTACTGCCATTTGGTTAGTCCTCCATGAACTTCTGCAACATGAGTCCTTCCCACGGGCTGCAGCTCTCCACAAACTGCTCCAGCGGGGGCCCCCCATGGGGTCACAAGTCCTGCCTGCAAACCTGTTCCAGTGTGGGCTCCTCTCTTCAAGGGTTTGCAGGCTCTGGCAGGAGCCTACTTTGGTGTGGACTTCCCACAGGGTGACAAGCCTGGGGACCTGATGCAGATGACACCGGCAAAATGTTGACTGAACATTGACCAAATCCTCAAAGACCTGATTTATACCAATATAGAAACAGAATATCAAACAGAAAATCTATTAAAAAGAAACATGTGCAGTAACCCACATATTTTATGTCTGCCAAAATAAACTTTCTTGTGTTTAATTTCTAGAACCAGAAAGTGGGTGGAATTCCATGGGCTAGGAACATGGGTGTGTGTGATATTAAATAAAATTTTAATATCCCATGTCTCAGGTTTACCACAAAAGAATATGAACACCCTAGAAGGACTCAATTGTTTGTTAGCTGTTAAAGGAAAGGCAGGAGAGCAGGGCAGGGTGAATTACCAACTCTCCAACTGCAAAGCAGGTGAGTGACAAGCCCTTCACCTCACTGAGAAGCACAACATGAACTACTCCACGCTAGAGAGTTCTACACTTTCAAATGCACTTCCATGAAGTTGCATCTTATCCCACAGGACCATTTTTGTGTTTCATTTATCAGCCTAGCTGGACCAGTACAGTCATGTATCCCGGCAGTTACCTGATTGCCAAGYTAAAAGTGGATAAGGAAAAGAAAAAAAATCATTCACTTCTACAATTATTTCTAAGACAACCTAGTTATATTGGCTCCAGGGCTGACTTGGTACGGAATATTTCAAATCATAGAATCATTAAGGTTGGAAATACCTCTAAGATCATCAAATCCAATCGTTAACCCAGCACTCCCCTGTTTACCACTTAGTGCCACATCCATGCAGTTCCAGGGATTGTGACTTCCCCGAACAGCCTGTTCCAATGCCTGACCACACTTTCAGTAAAGCAATGTTTCCTAAATCTAATACAARCTTCCTCTGGTGCAATTTGAGGCCATTTCTTCTCATCCTTTGTAAATGTTACAAATTACAACAGTCTTGTTTCAAAACATCCATTTCTCGTTTGGGTTTTTCTGAAGAGCCATTATCATCAATGCAAAGATTAAGCAGACGAGGCAATAAGCAGCCCCCATCAAAACTCCTCCTCCCTGGTTGAAAATCATCCCTGAAACACATAGCTCAAAGCAATCTGAAGATAATTAAAATTATGATGTACAGAGACTGTTGCTTATTGGGCCGATGGACACTAATTAATTATTCCTTTGTAATTCCGACTGTCTGTATCCATATACCAATTATAGTCTTTATATTCTGGCAGTATTACTTTGTGTAAAGGTCTCTTCTGTGGGCATAAAGTGCTTAGCACAGTCCTCTCTCACATAGAATTAGGGATCCCTAATGGTAGTTGAAAAGGCAATTGAAAATATGAGGAAAAAGAAGGTTAATACATTTCCTAGATTAATGAAGAGCACACCAATAGGCAAAACATCCCAACACAACAAAGCACTCTTCCTCCTGAAGAACAAAGCAAAAAGCAACTATACACACAAGAATTCAGATTAAAAAAAAAAAAAGAAACACATTTCTCTACACTGAAATCACATTGCTAAACCTTTGAAAGCTGTAATACCTCCAAGTGCTTCATCCAACAGACAGGTTTGTGTGATCTTTTTACTCTACTCAACACGACAAGGCAAAGGGGCTTGTCACCCTGACACCCTGACAGCAGCCACAGCCCACACAGYAGACACCTGGTGCATTTTCTTGCAGAAATAGACACACTCTGCAAACTTTGGTACTCTTTTCCAAATCACTTGCTGTACAAAACCACAAATGCTAGATGAATGCTGCCAGTAAAAGACATTTTTAGTTATCTGAAGCTGGGAGACAAGGGCAAAGAAGAAAAGAAGTGAGAGGCTACCAAAAACCCAAGGTCCAGCTGATCCACCAGTCAGGGCGTTGAACTGCTGAAGCAGTTGGCTGACCACAATAGCTGCTGCCAGTGCTCAGGGAAAAAAGTCCTAGAAATAAAAACAAGRACAGAATGATCCTGGCACTGCCATTCGGCAGCCAATGAGGTTTTACTTCTGACCTGGCGGGGTCTGGAATTCCTGTACAACTTTGCATTGGTGCAAAGTCCTGCAGATTGCTCAGCTGCTGTGATAGAAGCTGTAGCTGATTCACCTGCTAAGTCTTTCTTAACTTTTACTTGGCATGTCTGTGGAAAACCATTGTCCAGTGGAGTTCAACAAGAAATTGGAAAGATTACTCATTTGTTAAACACTGAAATTGGAGCCTCACTGTTACCACCAAATAGGACCCCTTGAAAACCAAATTAACCTGTAATCCTTCTGGTGTAGATAGACTACAGTTCACTAGAACAGGAGCTTCAGGTAAAGCAGCTGTAGGTAATGGAGATTCATTCTTAATTAACAGCTCACTTCATGCTAACCTACAGCCTTACAGCACCATTGACTACACTCCTTTCTGTACTGTGAATTATACCACTTCTTGAATCTTTTCCCCAAAGAAATKTGAAGGCCCAAACCCCCATTTTTTGAATCTCTTTTCATCAAAATTATTTTTTTCAAATTCATTAGTAACTGCTGACTACCAGTCTTTGACATGAAAGTATTTCTGTTTTCCCAAAATTCTTTTATGTAACCGTTTCTGTTACTATTGCACTGTCTGACCAAACCAACTGCACAAACCCCTCAAAAGGCAAAGTTAAATACTGCTACTTGTGAAGCTGTATCACTATAACTTGCCTTGGAAGCAGAAAAGAGAAAGGAGGAGACTGTTCTGTCTCCTGAAATTGTGTGTCTTTGCTGGAATGATAACACCTCCTTGTACTGACAAATTACTGGTGTTGAAACACAACAGCAATCCCCACATACACTGGGCAGCAGTGGCCAGCAAGACCACAGTCAACATGACACATTGTAGCTGCCACATGACAAAATTTGATTCCCCTTAGATACAGCTCATTTAATAAAAAACAAGACTTACAAATGTTATTTGATAACTTTATTTGTAAAATATGCAGTAATCATGCAAAGTTTTTAAGGGGTTCAAACCAAATTTTTGAATGAGAAATACTTGCACCTTGTCTTTTGAATTAATCTGCCTCCAATAAGCSAATGAGTCACCATACAAAAAGTGGAGGCAGTTGGCAGCATATTCCCCCAAACCATAATCTAAAATTGGGAGCTGAGAGGGTGGTATGTCACACATCTGGTGTAACCAGGCAAATCCAATACGCTTTTGCTGTCACACAGAAGCCGATTGCCTGGATTTTGCCTCCCAATCATTTCAAAAATTATGCCTGACAGTGAGAATCCAGAAATCTATTTAAAAAACAGAATTTAGGAAAAAGCTGCACTAAATTCTGTCTTTCTCAGACACACACACACCCTGAGCAGATGGAGGAAAGACAGTGAGTTTCTTGCTAGTCACATCAGTGCGGGARTCAGACATTACCAATGCTCTCTCATCCAGCTCCTGTTGAAATCAATAAAAGCCCTTCAGCGAAGACCATGGGAGATAGAAAACAACCTTCTCCTCACTTTAGCCAGAATATGTGAAGGAGAAAAAACTGACAGCGTTCTTTCCCTCAGATTTTCATGGTGCTTAAAGATACAGACTACAAAACATAACTTGCCATTTAGGAATCTTTGATCTTCTTGATTGGCACAAATATGACTCATGTCTACGTATGAATCAGGGAGACAGACATCACTTTGCGCTTGGACAAGGAAGGATAGTAGCAGCCATGCATGAATAAGCATTACTGCATTTCAAAGTGCTGCAGATGCAATGTGTTCTACAACCAAGGAAGTGGTGGGAGTGAAAGGTGTTCCTTTTCGCTTAAAAACAATTATTTTGCATTGGTGAAAAATAAAAAAAAATAATCCAGATGCTGGAATTTGTCTTTTATCAGTTCGAAAACCTGAAAATCAACTGGCATTGTAAATATCTAGAAGGACTTTGGCATTTACTAGAGCATCTATCTTCTCTGAAATAAATAAAATCTTCACTAAAGTTGCTGTGAAGTGCTTTGTGAGCATCAGCTTACAATAAACATTCAATCATTCCTGCATTTCCCAGTTCTAATGACATTCATCACTGCAAAGTCCTTTGGCCTGAGGGCCCATTCACACTGGCTCACAGAGTGTCTATAGATTTTGTTCTCATTTTGCCTTGCATCCTTGTGAGCTCCAATATTTAGGACTTCACACATGGTTTGTATTTCTGCCATAAATATTCAGTTTCATTTTCTACTCTGTTTCTGGACAAGATCCAAGAAAAGAAGGAATCGAGGCTTTACTGTGTCAAAGTGAACTCCGTCAGTAACACCAGATTGACGTTAATAAATATTAGCAAGTACAAAAGAAGAAAATAGAATAATTCATTAAAAAAAAAATCTCAAAGTTATACTCACTGCTGGTAGAGGACATACGGCTGTACTCAGACCTGCAAGACAAAGATTTTAATTAGAATGCATTTAATCCAAAAGATATAATGAAAAAGTCACCTAAACTAACACACATTGCTTCTTGAATAGTTTAATGCCCATTTCATACTTTTTATGCTAAGATAGTAACTGGAACAAGTTTTGAACATTGCTTCAGAAAAACTGGCATCTCACATGAATTTTGAAAATATGTAACTAGAATGAGTAAAGCAACTATGGTTTTGTCTAGGGGTTATTGATGCTACGTAACTCCAGGTATAAAAATTAAAGGCTCTCCACAAGGACTGAACAGTCTGCTTCTGACACAGGTTAGGAGTAGAGGTCAACTAGGCTTTGACTCAGCTCCTCTCCTTCCTCAGCTCCTCTCCTTCCTCACTTTATGTCCTCTAAATGTTGCTTTACAGATTTTTCTTTGAGTTCTTTTTAAGAGAACTCTATTTGAGGAGCAGAATTTTTACAGTTCTATGGCCACAACTGGTGGTGAAGTTAAAAAAACAAGAATGTCAAAATATAAACATTMAGATGACAAAGCTTTTTGCTTTAGTAGACAATTTTCTTCTTGAAGACATCTCAATAAAACTATACAGCCATTGGTCCTAGTTCAGTGCATACTGGATTATCTGTGAGAAAGTCAGAGCAGTTAAGTACTTTGAGCAACAGTGCAATTAATTTTTCAGCTGCATATAACCCCAAACTCCTGAAAACCAAATTCKGAGCTGATTAAAACATAAACCATTTATGTCCTGAAGATTCAGAAATAATAAGGTAAAACAAATATGACATTATTTAAGGGGGAAAAAAACTCAGTTCCTCAGTTGAGGCCCAACCTTATGACTTTTGAGCATTTGSGTTTGGAATTCACATTCACACAGCCTCTACCCTCCCATTTGCTGCATCCCCAAAACCAGACCCCAACAGGCAAAGTGCTCGGGGAGCCTGACAAAGTTCTTGGAATCAAGCCCATATGCTTGTTTCATATAAGAATTGCAGCAAGTTTGCAACATTGCTTTAAAGAAACCACATGAGCCTTGACTCCCAAGAGATGTGTGTGGAAGTAGATCCCACCTAAGCATATTCTCAGGATACCTCATACTCTAGGCTCTCAAACATCCAAGGGAATAAAGGACATCATTTCCACATATCTACAGTATCTGCTTTTGACTTTGATATGGACATATCTCTGCAGAGGAAACAAAACAAGCACAGTCATCTCCGTATTTCACAGCACCATGCTTTGCACTCAGTACTCTGCATATCAGGTGCCAAAGCCACTGGTTTAGGTGAGAAGATCATGAGAAACTACCCCCAACTCTTCTTGCCAATCCCACTGGACCAGTCATAGATGACACAATCTGAATCTTTCACAAAACTCATGAAGAAAGATCCACCAATGGCATCAAATACCATGAGGTTATCACAATTTTTGAAAAGGATCTGGGCATTGCTGGAGAAACAGTTGCTGATGGGGGTTGCAGCTCTCCCTCACTTGCTCTCCTTAGGTAATCACGTAGCCCCAGCCACTTTSATAAGGCCAAGGAGCAAGGAAACATCTTTGTCCCAACTGGCAGAGACCACAGGTTTAGGTCATTAGCAGCCACTCTCAGTCACCCCAGAATCTTCTCCATGAATCAAGTGCTTTCYCTCATCCAATCGCCCCCATGATCCTTATGTAGCTGGGAAGTCCAGAGGCAGTAGTGACACTGTTGTCCCAAATGTGGGCTCAATGCCCAGGATGCAGCACCAGTTTTCACACCAAGACCAAGTATTCCCATTCCTTTCATCTAGTTTGCACAAAGCAGGGAGCTGCTGTGGCCCACAACCTGCTGGTGCCCCAATCAGCGAAGCTCTACAGCACTCATATATTTCAGCAAGCAAAGAAATCAGGGCTCACTGGCTACAAATCATGTAGTTCTCTYATTGATCAGTATTCTACCTTTGATTGGCTGAAAGATTCTCTCACTTCTAATGCTAATGTTCAGTCTGTCTCTGGAGTCAGTGGGTTTCTTGAGACAGTGGGCTGTGAGGCAATTTTCACGATCTCCCTCTGATGAAATTGCTTTCTACCCAGTTAGAGACAATTTCTTCACAGCTGCTGAAATTAGTTGGCTTTGTTAATTTCTTCCTTATCTTGTGTGTTCTGCCAAATGTCCTTGTGGCCTGTAAATTCTTCATTCTTTGTGCTCACTATCAGCAGCTCATCCCTCTCCCCAGGCTTTGCTAACCTCCCYCTTGGTCTGAGACCACTGAAGCTGTCAAGCCCTAAAATCTAACAAGGCAATTCTACCRACAAGCAATGTGTCCCTCTAACACCTGCACATCAACATGAGCAGAGAAGGAGACTTTCTTGTTCCTTCTGCTGGGCAATGTCCACATCACTGATCTGGCTCTGGGCAGGAACCCAGGGGAGGTGATGCCAGGTGCTGGCTAAGGTGCTGTGCAGACCATAAAACTGCAAAGTATTTTCAGMAGCAAGTCACATCAGTGTCACTTGGCACCATGTCTATTTGAAAGGGTGTGAAAACTGTAACATGTCACTCTTCATAAGCCTAGAGGCAAGCAATATACATCCAGCTGCCTCTGAGCATCCCAAACAAGGATTCATTTAGTCTCTGCTTCTGTTTGAAAACAGCCTGGGGCTGTCCTTCAATGTATCTGTGTTCAGCAGTTGGCAGCTAATTCAAAATGAATCTGCACTGCTTGTATTTYGGATGGAAGCAAGACAACATTGTGCCTTTTGCTTACTGCAAGTTGGAACAGCATTCTATTACTTCACACTGTTATTTTATTATCCGAAAGTGCTGCAGGSACATTATGGGACACGAAGAATTAATGAGTCCGGAACTGAGGGAGTAGCAGTCTATGTACATGCTGGACTTGACAAATGAGACAAGAGGAAAAATGAAAAGATGGGGAKTGAGAGAGGAGGAGACAACAGTGTACTTGGAAACTAATTGCACAGACACATTTTAATAGGCTTTAGAATTGCATTTCAGGGTGGTTTTTTTTTGTAGTTCTAATATGGTTCGAGCTAATATTTAATTCATGTTTGTTTCATAACTGRCATACATATAATTAAAAATGGGTAATTAAGCTCAAACGTTTATGTCAACCTCAGATACAGAAATGAGAGCTGTACCCTCCCTAAGCTCCCTCTATTGTCAATAAAATAAGAGCTCTGAAGTATCTCTCCTTAGCTGTTGTGTAGACAAGAAGCCTACAGAAATCACAYTTCTAATCTAGAACCCTAGACCCTGTGTCTAAAACCAAATGGGATGAATACGAGTCTCTTTGTGCTCTCAAGGACAACCTGAACCAACTTTTGCCCTCCCTCCAGCTCCTTTCTTTATCTTGAATCTCATCCTTGAGAACAAAAATAACAGTGCTAGTAAAATCCTTAATATTCTCAAACTATTAGAAGGAACCATTCAGATTCATGGCATGCATTGGTAAGTGGCTTATAAYTTTTTTTTCCTTACAGTCAGCTATTTAGGACACTAAATTCTGATGTTAGTGTAAGTCTTTTAAGCTTTTTAGCTTTTTACTAGCACACACTACATGCCCTTTGACAAAATCATGCATCAGAAAAATCAAGTACTGAAATAAATATCTCCTGGGGCATATAGGCTCTCTGGASATCAAGTATCCATGTTCCTTTCTGTTCTTTTCATTCCTGTTTTAAACATCCTGAGTATTGATTTCTACCAATTCTCTTGGAAGAGGATTTTCCCATTAGGGTAACACAAGAGTAAAGCACTCTTGGGCTTTAATGGTGACACCTGGGACCATACCGGGCACAGAGGTTCCAGGCCTATTAATGGTCTTGCAGCAAGCTATTTCCTCTGATAGATGTTAGATTATAGATAAAAGGGAAAAAAAACATTCAGGACAGGACTGAACACATTGATTGTTCCCTTTATAGGCTGTTATATAGTAATGAGAAAAAAATAATGAGAAATGAGAAAAAATATGAGAAAATGTATAATGAGAAAAAAAAGTATCAAAAAGGTTATTGAAACAGTGTGAGGTACTGAAAAGGAAGGCTTATAGCTCAGTCAAAAGACACATCAGTCTGCAAAGAATATGTGCTCAATGGTAAGCCCACCAGAAAAGAGGCACTGTGAAGACATCAAGAGACATCAAAATAGGAATGTAGAAGCTTGAGATAAAGATGGGACTTCAATTCCCATTACTGCCATTGAAGGATCAGACTTGTGCATTGTCAGAGATGGTAAGAGCATCAGGAGCACCAAAGATACTGAGCAATCCTCTGAGATCTGTGTGTACCGCTCATTGCTGATACAGAGCCTCAAAATATCCAAGAGAGGGAAGCATTCCACGGAATACCAGTAAGTACCTCTAGTGCRACTTGCAGTTGCTGAGCGTGGTACACAGAAACACTCCAAGCCTGTTCCTTTGGATGAGAACATAGCAATTTTACAGCCCTGGCTCACACAAGCAGTGTGGCTACTCCAGCATGGCTTTGTGCTTGAGCTCCTTTGCTCAGTGATCAGCTGTGGCACTGTACCACAATAGCATCACAGCTACAGCACTGACAGCTGCAGCCACAAACAAACACCCCCAAGGGCCTGAGACCCAGACCAAGTGCCATCAGTCTGCACCTGTACCAGCAAAACCTCTCGCCATCCAAGATATACTGGCAAGTGGTCTGCTGGGAAGGATCCCTGAACCACGGTAATGTTCAAAACAAGTCCCTAGCCCATGGCGAAACATACCCAGGAAAGAGGTGTTAGAGCTAGATTGCCCCATTCAAACTGATGCCACCAAACCATTTTAAGTATTCAACACTATGGACACTCAATCCCATGTTCAGGGACACCTTTCTGTGCTGTTTACTGGCCTGGCATGGCTGGGACCACRGCTTCTGGGCTGTGCAGCATTTCCAAGGCAGCCTGCTGTATGAAACAAACACATCTCGAGTAATTCCAACATGACACTACACTCCAGTGTGCCCATGGTCTCCACCGCCAGGGCTCCTTAA